CGGCGGAGGCCTGCAGAGGCCGAGGAGAGCGAACAAAAAAAACCGTCCGCCGAGGTGCTCTCGGGACTCGAGGGGGCCTGGGGAGTCACTGGGGGAGGAGGAGGAGGAGGAGGAGGAGGAGGAGGAGGAGGAGGAGGAGGAGGAGGAGGAGGAGGAGGAGGAGGAGGAGGAGGAGGAGGAGGAGGGGCAGACAGGAGTGAAGGAGGGCGGCGAGAGGAAACGGCCAGCCTGGAGGGAGGGAGGGAAGGCAGGGGCCTCCCCTTCATCCCCCCTCTCGACCTCGACCCTCGGCCTTGATCGCCCGAAGGTGGGGCGGAAGACAAGTTTTCGATCAGCCATCAGCGAACGTTGCCCCAAAATCGGCAGCGGCCGCTGCTGGGCAGGCGACATGTTGTTCAAGATTGCCACGGTCCCGCGGCGACAGCGACAGCGAATCCTGCTGAAAGTGGACAAGAACTGCTGCTGGTCTTCGCAGAGGCAGTCAGCGTAAGTCGGATCGGGCTGCATCGGATCGCCAGGATGCACAGCAGCGCCCGCCATGCACGCAAACATCGGGGCCGCATCGGATCGCCCGAACACGCGTCGGAACGGATCGGGCCGGCCGGAATCGATCTCGGATCTGATCGATCGGATCGAAATCGACCCTGTCTTCGTCCCCCTTTCGGCGGAGATCGAGGTGTGAAGTGAGAAGGAAGAGGCCTTCTCAGAAGTCTCGAAAAGACCTCAGGCCTTCTGAGAAGTTGTCTATGCCTTCGCCGAAGACACAGAGAACCTCTCGAAGGCCTTCTGAGAAGCCCCGCCGCCTTCTGGGAAGGCCTTCTCCTTCTCACGTCACGCCTCGCTCGCCGCCGACCCATGCGTTCCGTCACTATCTCTATGGACGTCCGAATGTGGGGCAGAAAAAATTGTAAGATTCACGACAACAACAACCATAACAACATCAGCAGCAACAACAACAGCAACAACAACAGCAACAACGGCAACAGCAACAGCAACAACAACAACCACAACTACGACAATAACAACAACGACAACAAACACAACAACAACAACAACAACAACAACAACAACAACAAGAACAACAACAACAACAACAACAGCATCAAGAACAACAACAACAGCAACAACAACAACAGCAGCAACAACAAGAACAAGAACAACAAGAACAACAATAACAACAACAACAACAACAATAACAACAACAACGACAACAACAACAGCAACGGCAACAACAACAACAACAATAACGACGACGACAACGACGACGACGACGATAACAACAACAACAACAACAGCAACAACAACAACACCAACAACAACCTAAACATCAACAACAACAACAGCAGCAGCAGCAACAACAACAACCACAACAACAACACCAACAACAACAGCATCATCATCATCATCGTCATCATCATCAACAACAACAACAACAATTACTAGCACGTGGGGACACTCCGTTCTCACCAGTGCCAGGGTTTTCATAGGAGGCGGGCAATACCCCCACTTTGTGGGGGGGCCGGTTCAAGCTCTACCAAATTTCCAAACGACTCTTCGCCACCACCCACACCCAGCTTCCCGCCCTATGACGTTCGGACACTTCACTTCGTGGCATGCGGACGACCGTGGCTACTATTCAGGGCCCCGCGGCCGACGACGACGGCGTGCGCGCGCGAAGAAAAAACGAATGTGTCCCGCATGGTATTATTTGACAGGGATGATGGCCCTGGCAGGTGCGCAACCGTTGTCGCAGAAGTTCGAAAAAGTTGCTCGCAAAAGCCCGTTTGACAGAAATGTTTAAAAAGTGTTGGGTTTCCTACGAATCCGCAAGAGCGCGCGGGATGAGATTTTGACATTTTTTGTTGAAAAACCATTGGTTTTTTGATGTTTTTATGTTAAAATCGCTGCGAACACTAAGGTTTTGGAAGGATTTCGTCTTGCGCGCGCGAATGTCCACTTTACCTTATTTTTTGCAAGGGATTCTTGAAATTTGATTATATTAGAACAAGAAATGTCATTTTCTATTGTTTTTTGCAAGGGAAAGCGGATTACAACAAAACAACCGGATCCTGTACACACCCTCTTTTCTGAGGCTTCCTCACGAAAATGATGAAAATGTAGCTGCGGCCTAGGCGGCGCAGGGGGGGCGCGCACCAGGGGGCCCAACAATAATTATTCTTTAGAATAAATAATGTTCAACAACAGCAACACCACCACCAACAACAACAACATCAACAACAACACATGATGTCCAAAACAAACCGCGGCCGCTGTTGGGCAGGCGGATTTTTTGTCTTCGATGGACAACGTCCGCGGCGGCGCGGACAGCGATTCCGGTTCAAAATGAACAGGAACCGCTGTACGTCTTTATACCCTTCGGCGGTGCGCACAGGGGGTGGAGGGAGGGGGGAGGGCTTCTTAGAAGCAGGCGTGCCTCTAAGAAGCCCTCCCCTCTCCCCCCACCCCCCTCTGCGCGTGGCTGAACCCATTCTTTCCGTGCCCATATCGATCGGCCCGAATCTCGGCCCTCTTGATCCTCGGCCCTCTTGATCCTCGGCCAGTCGGCGCCCAGGCGCCTGCCGCTGGAGCTTCTCGTCCTCGGCCTCCATCAGCCGCCGCACCTGGGCGCGGGCACGCGAGGCGCTGCGCCGAGGGGAGCGCCCCCAGGGCTCCGACGAGACGACTGCTTCTATCCAAGCAGCGTTTCCGATGTCGGCCTCCAGGGCCGTCGCCGGGCCCTGGGGCCACGACGAGCTGCTCTGAAACAGAAGTGGAGAGCAGGAAGTCCACCCCCCTAGTAAGCACCCCGGCAAGCGAAGCCGTGTCGCAAACGTTCCCAGGCAAGGAATCGAACAGGGCAGGGCGCTTTAGTAAACGCCCGAGGCCGTTGATGAAACGCCAACTGACGGGGTCGGGGAGGTTCCCCCCTTGAAAAAAGCTGCTCCTGGGGACGGGGTCGGGACCAGGCCGCGAATACAGAAAACGGCGAATGCAAGGGCCTACGTGACCTAACTTTGCGCATCGCTCCCAGCGACGCGCGACGCGCGGCTCGATTCGCGCCCTCGCGAGGACACCTCGAAGAAGGGCGCCTCTCCAACCCAAGCCGCGATGATCGAAGCGCGAGTATCCTCGCGCCCCTGTGGGGGGGACCTGGAAACCCGCATGGGACGCACAGCGACATCCTAGTACTACACGTTCTCCTTGGAGGCGCGTCCGACCCGAACGTGTAGTACACCCACCTTGTTAGTAGATCGTTTCCCGAGCGGTGTGGCCAGAAAGCGCCAACCCCGACGCATATACTAGAAGATTTCTCGGTGCGCGCGTCGCCCCCCGGGGGGGGGGGGGGGGGCGACGCACACATAGTCTCAGTATGTTGGGGCGACGCCGAACGCAGGCCGCCCGAATTGCCCTTCCCAGGGCAGGCGCCTCGGCGCGTGCAGGGCGCGGGCCTCCGAGGGAAGGGGCCCTGGCGCCCTGCGCCGCGCTCGGCCCACCCCCGGGGCCGCGCCAAACCTGTCGGGGACCCGCTGGCCCGGGTCAGCCCAGACCCGGGTCCGTCAGGCATGGCAAGGTCCGTGCGGCCGCGTCTCCGCGGGATCGCGCCCCCGGAATCCAGACCGCGAGGGAGCGGGTGCAGATATGTTCGCCGCTCGTGAAGACACGACCCGAGCACTGGAGGCACAACAGCAGAGGGCTCGAGGAGTCCGGGGAGCTGCTGACCCGGGTCAATCCCAGTCAGGCGCTGCAGGGTCCTACGAGATCCTGCAGGATCCTGCAAGATCCTGCACCCAAGCCTGGGCCAGTGCGACCCTAGCCCTGCAGGAGCCCCTGCAAGATCCGGCGCTCTGGCTGACCCCCGTTTGCACTGACCCCCGTCTCAGGGCCCCCGAGACTGGCCCTGGGGAAATCCACTGGGGTCACAGGGCCCGTTTCCCTCGGGAACGCTCCCCTCCGTGGCGGAAATGCGGCAGGCTCGTTTCGTGACGACTGCGGCAGGCTCGTTTCGTGACGACCTCGGCGTTGGTGTCTGACGCTGCGCGGATCGTTCGGCCTGGAGCTGTGGCGGCTTCCCAGACGACGCGGATCGTTCAGCGTCGGCCAATCCAGGGCCGCTGGCGGCGTCGGCCGCGGCGTCGTTCAGCGTTCAGCGTCGGCCAATGACAGTCAGCGAACGCCCGCGCAGAGGTCGTCGCCGCGTCGACCCGGCCAGAGCCTGCGGTCGGTCCGCAGACAGCTGTGAAGGGGCCCAGGGGCACACAAATAAGTAGGCACGAATCCCAGGATGCCCCATATGCTCCGTATTTTCTGGATGTTGTTGTTCCCCCTCACTTCCCACAGCTTCCAATATTTTCTTGCGAATCGACAAGATACTGTGTCTGTGTGTGGTTTCCCCATCCTCGTGTAAATAAACAGAAATCCCTGGATTCCCCATATGCTCCATGTTTTCTGAATGTTCGTCTTCCCCCCACTTCCCATAGTTTCCACCGTTTCTTCCGGATCGACAAGAATGTGTGTCTGTTGCTCCCCCTCCTGAATATGTCGCTTCGATGTGTTCGACGCGTCGAGGCGTCTCATGGCCTCGAGGCGTCTCATGGCCTCGAGGCGTCTCATGGCCTTGGATGTGTCTGCCCTCGAGGCGTCTCATGGCGCGTTTGGAACCTCGTCAGCGTGCGAGAGCACGGCGCTGCCCGCGGTGCGTCCTGCGGCGGTCTACGCCGCCTTGGCGGCCGAGAGCCCGACATGCCCAAGGAAAAAATGACTGCACAAGCATGAACTTTCGGAGCTCCGCGAGGATTTCTCCGATCGGCACTGAACTCGGGGATGGACAGAACCCCCTTTAGCAAAACGCGGTCTAGCGGGAACGAGCTCGCGCCCAAACCTGGCGGGCGCAAGCCTGGAAAATGAAGGCCGCTGCGCCCTGCGCCCCCTCGAGAAACGAAAACGGACAATTCACTGAAATTCACCAATCGACGTGTCAGGGTGAGGGTTCTGTCCACCCCCGATGAGCCCCCTTCCTGGCGCGAGGAGCGCGCCAGGGGCGGTATCGGAGGCGCCGCCAGGGGCCGAGCGCCGATCCAAGAAACCCGCGCGGAGCTCCGAAAGTTTATAGTATGCCGTTGCTTCCTAGCATTAGTCTTATGAATATGGTGTTCCTGAGTCTTCTTGGTATGAATGTTCGTAGTCGTACACCCCCCAAGTGTTAGTGATATCTTGGGCACTCGTAGAAATAGTAGTAGTAGTAGTAGTAGTAGTAGTAGTAGTAGTAGTAGTAGTAGTAGTAGTAGTAGTAGTAGTAGTAGTAGTAGTAGTAGTAGTAGTAGTAGTAGTAGTAGTAGTAGTAGCAGTAGAATCGTAGTCGTAGTAATAGTAGTAGAAGTCGTACCAGTAGTAGTAGCAATAATCGTAGTAGTAGTAATAGAAAAAGTAGTCGTAGTAGCAATAGTATTAGTAGAAGAAGAAGTAGTAATAGTAATAGCATTAACCGTAGTCGTAGTAGTGATAATAGTACTAGTGGTAGTAGCAGTAGTAGTCGATGTAGTAGTAGTAATCGTAGTATGTAGTAGTAGTAGTAGTAGTAGTAGTAGTAGTAGTAGTAGTAGTAGTAGAAATAGTAGTAGTGGGGGTAGTACTAGTCGTAATAGTCGTAGTAGTAGTAGTAGTAGTAGTAATAATGGTAGTAGTAGCCGTAGTAGTAGTAGTAGTAGTAGTAGTAGTAGTAGTAGTAGTAGTAGTAGTATCAGCAGAAGTAGTAGCAGTAGCCGCAGCAGTAGCAAGAGCATTAGTAGTAGTAGTAGTAGTTGTTGTTGTTGGTGTTGTTGGTGTTGTTGAAATGGCAGTAACAGAAGTAGTAGTACTAGTACTAGTACTAGTACTAGTAGTAGTAGTAGTAGTAGTAGTAGTAGTAGTAGTAGTAGTAGTAGTAGTGGTAGTAGTGGTAGTAGTGGTAGTAGTAGTAGTAGTAGTAGTAGTAGTAGTAGTAGTAGTAGTAGTAGTAGTAGTAGATGTTGCTGGACATTCCGCCTTCGTATCGCGAGTGTGCGAAAGGCAACGATTATCCCTGACAAGGCATCGTGTAGCATGGCCGAAACGACTGTGCCGAGCATCGAGACTGACGCGCACAAAAGAAAGACTACTAACCCGAAAGGCGCTGGACACTACCTCATTCCTCCCTGCGCCCGGGAGGCCAGCCAGGCCAGCGGGCAGAAGGATTCAAGAGAGGGACCGCCCGTCCCTTCCACGCTGTATTCCTGATATATGCGCGCCAGCTCCACGGCATGCTGGGCTACGAGCTCGGCGCCTCTGAGTTCGGCGTCCGTCACCGTGGCCCCTGGACAATGGATAACCCCCCCGCACACCTCCCGCCAAGTCCCTGCTGAGGCCCGCGCTCCCTTCTTGTCGCCATCGAAGGAAGCCATGAGTCGAAGAGGAGAGGAGGGGCACGGGGAGAAGGAGGGAAGGGACGAGTGGGTGAGAGACTCCTGGCGATCGATCCCTTCGGACGCCCAGCTGTCGGCGGCGGTGTTCCCCTCTCTGAGGGTGTGGTGCCAACATCGCCCACCTCGAGTTGCAGGGAGGGTGCCGAGGCAAAACGTGGCAGCAGGCATGTTGTTCTGAATTACTCTAACACGGGCCCTGTCATATGGTGATCGAGCACGGAACGCCCCCTGAAGCCCACCTATGACAGTAGAAGAATCCCCAGTTGAAATAACTGAGCGTCCCAGCCCCAAAACAACATTTCGAATTTCGCCAGCGTGGGGACTGCCACACCTCGGTAGTTTGTCTCCACGCAATGGAGAGTTCTACGAAGGTGCGTTTTATCTTGCTGCACAGGCGGTAGTAGTAATAGTAGTTGTAATTGTAGTAGTAGTAGTAGTAGTAGTAGTAGTAGTAGTAGCAATAGTAGTAGTAGTAGTAGTAGTAGTAGTAGTAGTAGTAGTAGTAGTAGTAGTAGTAGTAGTAGTAGTAGTAGTAGTAGTAGTAGTAGTAGTAGTAGTAGTAGTAGTAGTAGTAGTAGTAGTAGTAGTAGTAGTAGTAGTAGTAGTAGTAGTAGTAGTAGTAGTAGTAGTAGTAGTAGTAGTAGTAGTAGTAGTAGTAGTAGTAGTAGTAGTAGTAGCAGTAGCAGTAGTAGTAGTAAACGGAGACTAGTACTATACTAGTACTAGTACTAGTAGTATTAGTAAAGTAGTAGTAGTAGTAGTAGTAGTAGTAGGTAGTAGTAGTAGTAGTAGTAGTGGTAGTCCTAGTAGTAGTAGTAGTAGTGTCCCGTCGTCGTCGGGTCGTCGTCAAGTAGTAGTAGTAGTAGCATAGTAGCAGCAGTAGTAGCATTAGTAAGCATAGTAGTAGCAGTAGCAGTAGTATAGTAGTAGGAGTAAGTAGTAGTAGTAGTAGTAGGAGTATATAGTATAGTCTAAGTAGTAAGTAGTCGTCGTAGGAGTCGTGTCGTCGTCGTCGTCGTCGTCGTCTCGTCGTCGTCGTCGTCGTCGTCGTCGTCGTTCGTCGTCGCGTCGTCGTACGGCGTCGTCGTCTTCGTCGTCGTCAGAAGAAATCGTAAGTAGTAGTAGTAGTAGTAGTAGTAACAGCAGCAGTAGTAGTAGTAGTATAGTAGTATAGTAGTATCGTAGTAGTAGTAGTAGTAGTAGTAGTAGTAGTAGTAGTAGTAGCAGTAGTAGTAGTAGCAGTAGTAGTATAGTAGTAGTATAGTAGTAGTAGTAGTAGTAGTAGTAGTCGTCGTAGTCGTAGTCGTAGTCGTAGTAGTAGTAGTAGTAGTAGTAGTAGTAGTAGTAGTAGTAGTAGTAGTTATAGTAGTAGTAGTAGTAGTAGTAGTAGTAGTAGTAGTAGTAGTAGTTAAAGAGTAAGTAGGTACAGGAGGTCGAAACAGTAGTAGTAGTAGTAGTAGTAGTAGTAGTAGTAGTGGTAGTCGTAGTAGCCGTAGTAGCCGTAGTAGTCGTAGTAGTAGTAGTAGCAGCAGTAGGAGTAGTAGTAGGAGTAGTAGGAGTAGTAGGAGTAGTAGGAGTAGGAGTAGTAGGAGTAGTAGGAGTAGTAGGAGTAGTAGGAGTAGTAGGAGTAGTAGTAGTAGGAGGAGGAGGAGTAGTAGTAGGAGTAGCAGTGGTAGTAGCAGCAGCAGCAGTAGTAGTAGTAGAAGCAGCAGCAGTAGTAGTAGTAGTGGTAGTAGTGGTAGTAGTAGCCCTAGTAGTCGTAGTAGTAGTAATGGTAGTAGTAGCAGTAGTAGTAGTAGTAGTAGCAGTAGTCGTAGTAGCAGTAGTAGTAGTAGTAGTATAGATCGATTTATATATATATATATATACGACCACCCTGCGGGAGATAAGGAGGTGAGGGGGGAGGGGGAACCAACGTCTCACTCAATCGATCTCGCTATCGATCTCACATTCGATCTCATTATCGATATCACTATCGATCTCGCTATCGATCTCACTATCGATCTCACAATCGATCTCACAATCGATCTCACAATTGATCTCACATTCGGTCTCACATTCGGTCTCACTGTCGATCTCACTATCGATCTCACAATCGATCTCACAGTCGATCTCACATTCGGTCTCACATTCGGGTCTCACTATCGATCTCACTATCGATCTCACAATCGATCACACTATCGGTCTCACAATCGATCTCACAGTCGATCTCACAATCGATCTCACAATCGATCTCACATTAGGTCTCACATTCGGTCTCACCGTCGATCTCACTATCGATCTCACAATCGATCTCACAGTCGATCTCACATTCGGTCTCACATTCGGTCTCACTATCGATCTCACTATCGATCTCACAATCGATCTCACAATCGATCTCACAATCGATCGATCTCACATCTCGGTCTCACATTCGGTCTCACTGTCGATCTCACTAACGATCTCACAATCGATCTCACAGTCGATCTCACATTCGGTCTCACATTCGGTCTCACTAACGATCTCACTATCGATCTCACTATCGATCTCACTATCGATCTCACAATCGATCTCACATTCGGTCTCACTATCGACATCACAATCGATCTCACAATCGACGTCATCACCATCAACAACACCAACATCATCATCATCGCCATCATCAACATCATAATCATCATCATCATCATCATCATCATCATCATCATCATCATCATCATCATCATCATCATCATCATCATCATCATCAACATCATGATCTGGACACCGACGGGACACCGGCGGGACACCGGCGGGACACCGCGCGCCACCGGCCGCCCGGTGGAGAATCATTTGGTCCGGCCGCGCCTCAGCCACAGGAGACTTTCCTCTCGCCCGCCCACGCAGCTTCGCCTCGCCCGCACGCACGGCACGCACGAACACGAAACCGAAATCGATTTCCCGGTAGGGGGGCTCTCCGTTCCACTTCGATCTCACCCACTCACCTCCGATATATATATATATATATATATATAGAGAGAGATATGTATATATATACAGACATACATATGTATACATGTGTATATATAAATAAATGTAGAACGTAGTGTTCTGAATACGATGATCCGCACCGTTGTATTACTCTTGTTGTTACGAGCGGTAGTATCACCACCATTACTATCAATATTATTAGTATTCGAATACCCTTCCCTGTGCCCGCGCCAGCCCGCCAGAAACACACGATATCCTGTTTATCATGCCTTTTCCTGGCACATCTGTGGACAGGTCTCCAAGGGCGTGGCACAGAGGCCACGATGGTGACGGCGTCAGCTCTAACCACTCAAAAAAAGAAAACGCGGGGGGGCGGCCGCACAGGCCCCTCACGCTCTCCGACCACAGACTTCGGGGCCCCCAAGCCGTGTGGTGACGGACCGTGTGGTGACCTCGGAACCCCAAGAGACATCACCGCGCGGTCTGTGACCGCGCGGACTTGGGACCTCGGAGGGGCGACATCCTCGGAGAACGAGGCGAGTCCCCCAAAACCGCGCGATGACCCCGAGCATCCACTGACTCACCACGGCATGTGGTCACCGCACCGTCTGGGGGACCCCGAATACACGTGGTGTTGGAGGCGGCCCGGTGGGCCTGAACCAGCTGGGAACCCAGAACATCGGTCAGCAAGGGAAGACGAAGCCAAATCCCCTCAAAATCGGTCCCCTGGACCCCTCCCGGGGTCCATCTGGCGCAGTTCCTCACACCAAGGGCAATCCATGGAGGTTGAACTAGGTTACAAACAAACAAAATGCTCGAACCCCAGACCTCCCACGACCCACTGTGGGCCCCGCAGAACCCCCCGGAGGCTCCGCGGAGGCCCCGTGGATGCCCGACGAGCGCCCGCGACGCCGAGAAACGCCCAGAGACCCCGATCCTCGACGGCGGCGACGACGACGGCCACGATGGCGACGGCAACGACGACGACGACGACGACGACGACGACGACGACAGCGACGACGACGAGAACGACCACCTCCACCACCACCACCACCACCACCACCACCACCACCACGGCGACAACAACGACAGCGGCAACGACGACGGCGGCGGGGGCCTGGCGGTTCGGCGCGGCCGCCACCGCCGCCACGCCGTGCCTCTCTGCCTGCGGATACGGAGCGTGGCTGGACCAGCCGAGCCAGAAGCCATAGAACTCCGCGACCTCCTGGAGAACACCGGCCGCCCGCGTCCTCGGTCCTCCTCCTCCTCCTCCTCCTCCTCCTCCTCCTCCTACTCGTCCTCCTCCTCCTCATCTGCATCACCCTCGTCCTCATTTAAACAAAGGTTTATTAATAGTGTATGTGTATGCATGCCAGTATTGTTAGTAATGGCAGTATTATTGCGTATACTTATTATTAGTGTTCTCCATGTTCTTAGCACGCTGAATGTTAACTGAGTCTTCATTGTGGTATATGTATGTTAATGGTTGTGATTATTCGTGTTATTCGTACCATACGCATCTAGCTATTAGTGTGCTTTTTATGCGTAGTCTTCTTAGTATTACAAGTCGTATTAGTAGTATTCCTATGACTAACCTTTGCCTTCCCAGCTAATAGTAATGCTCGTAGTATGTCTTCTATGTTTATGTATAGTACTATTGTAAAAATGGCTTCATTTATAGCATTGCGATTGGCACCATGCGTATCACTTATATATCACAATTAGAATTGCTAGTTCGTTAGTATTGCCATTACTACTCTTAGTACCACTGTTAGAAACATGATTCTTGTGAGAAATATCATCATCAGTAATGTGAGTAGCAGTCTTATTGATCATATTACTATGCCTCCTCCTCCCCTTCCTCCTCTTCCTCCTCGTCCTCCTCGTCCTCCTCGTCCTCGTCCTCCTCCTGCTCCTCCTGCTCCTCCTCCTCCTCCTCCTCCACCCCGCATCCCTCCTCCCTCCCTGACGAAGGGCGAACATCCATATCCACGCCCCCGCGGTCTGGATTCCGGGGCACCAGCCTGCGGATACGCGGTCGCACGGATATGATACGTTCCACGCAGGGCAACCGCGAAAAAACGCCCCGGAGCCGCGGTGCTGCGACACGGAAACCTGGTCGGCGAGGCCGCGGATACTGACATGTTTTTCGGAAACGACCCCCCGAGTCCCCCTCCCCCCTCCTCCCCAGCCTTCCCTCCTTGCGGGCGCACGCTAACATGGATTACAGATCCGTGGATTTGGCGCGTGGGCGCCTGATCCAATCGGGAAATCGACCCTTCGAAACATGAAGCCAAGCAACCCGATTCGGCAACAGAGCGCGCCGATGTTGAATGGAAACGAAACCGGCGCTAATCCAGCCGACTTGGTCCATGTTTGCGTTTCTTCGAATGATACGCCGACCTTCTCCTCTTCCTCCTGTTCTTCCTCACTCTCCTCCTCCTCCTACTCTTCCTTCTCCTCCTCATCCGCCTCCTCCCCATCCTCAGCATCATGATCATCATCATCATCATCATCATCATCATCATCATCATCATCATCATCATCATCATCATCATCATCATCATCATCATCATCATCATCATCATCATCATCATCATCATCATCATCATACTTATCCTCATGTTAATCCGGATGTTCCTCATCCTCCTCGTCCTCGTCCTCGTCCTCTTCCTGCTCCTCTTCCTCCCCGTCTTATCATTACTGTTCTTCTTTTTCGTACTATTATTCTGGTTTGTATTACTATTACTATTGTTAGTATTCTGTGTACTCATAGTTGTATTCGTCGTATTAGTATTCGCATTATTGTTCTTACTAATAATGTTATTATTATTAAAGTGTTGGTATCATTACTTTTCGTAATTGTATTATTAACAGTCCTTGTATCCGCATAAGTTCATTTCTTGGTAGTATTACGATTAGAACTGTGACGCTTAACATTATATTATCATAGTAATAGGTGTAATAGTCTTCACAATCGGATTATCAGTTTCATTAGTTTTCGTATTATGCTTATTATGCGTTGTCTTATTACTATTGTTATTCACAGTACCAATAGAATAAATATTATTTGGATTCATGATAATCGTCTTGTTGGTATTCCTCGTAGTTTTGCTCGTCTTCTTTATTAATATTAGGTAGGTGTTCTTCATGTCCTTATTGATATTATCACGCATATTAATATCATGATTCATATTACCAGTCTGTATTCCTGTCATTGTTATGATTAGTAATGTCATCATTCATAATACGATTAATATCATTATTATTGTGTTTCTTCCTCGTCCTCCTCTTCCTCCTCCTTTTCCTCCTCCTCCTCGTCCTCCTTCTGCTCTTCCCCCTCATCCTCCTCCTCCTCCTCCTCATCATCATCATCATCATCCTCCTCCTCCTGCTCCACCCCGCATCCGTCCTCCCCCGTCACGAGAGGCGAACATATCCATCTCCACGCCCTGGCATCCACCCCAATCCCGACATGGGTTCAGGAACTCCTCATCCTCGTCTTCCTCGTCCTCCTCCTCCTCCTCCGCTTCGTCCTCCTCCTCCTCCTCCTCCTGCTCCTCCTCCTCCTCTTCCTCCTCCTCCTCCTCCTCCTCCTCCTCCTCCTCCTCCTCCTCCTCCCCCGTAGCCAGTTTGGCTCAAGATTGAGTTTACCTCCCGTCCCAATTCCAGAGGCCCGAAGCCGAAATGGAAGGGCAGCCCCAACCAAAAGCCTGGCTGCCTCGGCCAATTTCTTTCTCGAAAGTCTCAGTTTGGCGGCATGGCCTCGGGCACCTGTTCCGCGTTCACCACTGCATGTCCACGCCACCTTGAATATGTTGGCCGCCGCGGGAACCGGGCAAGATCCGGCATCATGTCAAAGTGGAACAACAATCGGTACCGGTGTTGCTCTGTCTCTGGCTGCCGCGGCTGAACATGGTGTGGAACTGGAGGACACCAACGCCTGCTCTCCTGTGATAACAAACTTCCGCAAGCCAGTCAGCCCAAGGATGCCGCGCATGGAGCTGATCATGGCAGCCAACCCCAACGTACTGGCAGGTCTCGCAACAGATGGGACCGTCGATCTGTCAACGGCAACGGCAGCGCCGGAGTCAAGCGAGTTGAAGAAAACGGGCACGGGGAGCGGTCTAGCGATGAGGGCCAGCGAAAACGACGAGGTGTAGACATGTATACCAGCGATCACCTTCTGGAAGCAGACGGTCGGCATCAATTGCAAGCAGCACTTCGCAGATCTGGGGGTCTCAATTAGGCCAAGAGTTCCTCCTCCTCCTCCTCCTCCTCCTCCTCCTCCTCTTTCCCCTCCCCCTCCCCCTCCTCCCCCTCCTCCCCCTCCTCCTCCTCCTCCTCCTCCTCCTCCTCCTCCTCCTCCTCCTCCTCCTCCTCCTCCTCCTCCTCTTTCTCCAAGCCCAGAGCCCCAAGAGAGGCCCAACAGGGACCCAAGACGGATCCAAGGGCGCCCATGAGCGCCCCAAGAGCGCTTCAACAAGGGCCCAAATGGCGATATTAGAAGCTCTAGAGTGGCCGCGCTAACTGCCCCCCCTTCTTTCATCGAACTCCTCCAACATGGACTCAAGATGGCGTCAAAGGCTCCGAAGAGCGCCCCAAGAGGGCCCCAGGATGCGCCCAGGAGGCCCCAAGAGTGCCCACAAGAGGTTGCCAAAAAGCTCCCACGAGACCCCCAAGAGCATCCCCCGACGCACCCAAGAAGCTCCAAGAGCCCTCTGGGACTGCCAAGAGGCCCCCAAGACGCCCCAACAGGACTCCAACTAGCTCTCAAGAGAAATCCGAAGAGGTTCCTAGAGTCCGAGAGGCATCCAAGAGGCCTCTGGCTTTCTGCTCGCCCTCCTCCTCCTCCTCCTCCTCCTCCTCCTCATCCTCCTCCTCCTCCTCCTCCTCCTGCTCCTGGTCCTACGCCTCCTCCTCCTCCTCTTCTTGCTCCTCCTCCTCCTCCTCATACGCCTCCTCCTCTTCCTCCACCTCCTCCTCCTCCTCCAACTCCTCCTCCTCATCCTCCTCATCCCCCTCCTCCTCCTCATCCTCCTCCTCCGGTTCCTCCGACTCCTCCATCCTCCCCCACTCGGGGTATGACGGCTTCCCCAGCCCTTGATTCCGCTGCATGCTCCTCCACATGCAACTCGCCCGGGCATCGTTTCTGCATGGACTGGTGGGGTTAGGTGAAGCGTCTGGAATTTCGACGAGAATCCAGCCATGGAGACGAGGGCCTCCAGGGGGGCCCAAAAGGGCCAAGCCGAAAGGAAGGTAGCAGTGCCGGTGACTTCCGGCGGTCAGCCCAGGGGGGGAAGTGAGGGGGGGGCGAGCCTCCTCAGAAGGCTCGGAAGGCTTCCTTCCCTGCGACGAGTTCCAAAGTCTCCCCCGAAGGCACAGAAGACTCCTCAGAAGGCCAGAGGGCTTCTGAGAAACCCCGCCGCCCTCCGAGAGGGCCTTGTCCTTCTCATTTCCCCCCTTCGCTCGCCGCCGAGCCTTTCCCCCCTCCGATGAGCCGCGGCGCTGCGACTGGCGCGGAAGGGCGCCGCTCCTCCCACGGCGACAGCGTCGTGCCAAAGGTCGGCGCCGCCGCCCGCTCGGCGCGCGCCACCGCGGCGAAGTAGCCTCCCCGCGCGCGGGGGCTCGGCACGATCGAAACGGCGACGGGAGAATAGGGACGAACGATGAGCAATAGAAGTACACATAACCCCTTTGGAGGGGACCTAAGTTCGGAGGGACAACAACATCAGGAGTAGGGGATATGTTATGCAGATGTACCAAGCCCAACCACACAGATTAGCCATCCGTCACGCAAAGGCGTGGAGCTAAGTAAGGCCACCTCTCCATTGTGCTATTAGGGTTAAGGGTTATGTTGATCTCGATGAGTTACGAAGACCAGCGTAATTCGCGAGCAGCCAACACATCCATATCCGCACCCTCGCGGTCTGGATTCTGGTGTGCGATCCCACGGATACGCGGGGGCACGGATACGATACGGTCCGCGCGGGAAATCCGCGCCAAAGCGTTTCGTATCGACGAGGTCGCGGCCCAAGGGCCGGTCCCGCGAGGCCGTGGATACGGGATACGGATGTGTTTTTCGCCCACGCCTCGCGCCAAAGGGGGGAGTGAGAGGGGGCAGGCCTTCTCAGAAGGCGGCGGAGCTTCTCAGGAGCCCTGTGGCCTTCTGAGAAGCCGCCTGTGGCTGCGGGCGAGGCTCGGAAAGCTCCTTGGAAGGCCGGAGGCCTTCTGAAGGGGCCTGCCCCTCTGCCCTCTGCCCCCCTGGGCGCGCCGCAGAGCAAAGACGAAGCCAGGACCAGGACAAAATTGGACTGGGGCGGACTGGGGATCGCGACTCTGAAAGAAGCATCGGGCGCCGCGACCGTTCCGGAGTGCTCCCAAACGCTCTGAGGGCGTTCCCGAACGCTCTGGAACGCTGTGTTCCGATCCTGGACCTACCCAACAGCGGCAGCTCTTGCCCGTCTCGAGCACGAATCGATGTCGCCGCCGCCGCGGACGCTGCGAGAGCAAGGCAAAACGTCGCCTGCCCAACAGCGGTCTTGGACAAAACCGTTACTTGGTCGGGCGAGCGCGGGACGCACACGCACCCGCCGCCGCGGCGCCATGGACTTCACCTTGATTCCCCCCTGGGCAGAGTGGTGCGTCTCGGGTCTCGGGGATGGACATAACCCCCTTTGCTTAAACGTGGTTCAGTGAAAACGACCTCAGGCCAAAACCTGGCGGGCGCAAGCCTGGAAAACAACGGCCGCGGTTCCCTCCCGAGAACCGAAAACGGACAGTTCACGAACCGACGTGTCAGGGTGGGGGTTCTGTCCACCCACGAGCGTTTAGATTTTGAACAAAACAGTCCGCGACCCGCCTAACCCACCCTGCATGCCGCGGCCGTCAGGCCCCAACACGTCAGGAGCGATCCGTGGGTATGCCGCCTCGCCCCGCCCTGCACACCGCGGCCGCCAGGCCCAGGGATAGATCCCCGAGGGCCCGGGGACGGCAGAACGAACAAGCATACGTACAGATCAGGCGTAACTGACAGTTGGCCCTACCAGGGCGGTGTCAAGCCGTCCCGGCGTTGCGGCGCCACGCTGTCCACCGAGATCTAGAGCAGAATACATAAGGAGCACATGCGGATAGCATGCATCGAAGACGCACACCGAACAGACACACTACGAGCACGCACGTCTTGTACACATTTAAGACCATTCATCAAAATTCGAACTCCAGAACCGGCGTCCAGGGCAATATACAAATTATACACCACAACGACGACAACAACAACAACAACAACAACAACAACAACAACAACAACAACAACAACAATTACTAGCACGTGGGGACACTCCGTTCTCACCTGTGCCAGGGTTTTCATAGGAGGCGGGCAATACCCCCACTTTGTGGGGGGGCCGGTTCAAGCTCTACCAAATTTCCAAACGACTCTTCGCCACCACCCACACCCAGCTTCCCGCCCTATGACGTTCGGACACTTCACTTCGTGGCATGCGGACGACCGTGGCTACTATTCAGGGCCCCGCGGCCGACGACGACGGCGTGCGCGCGCGAAGAAAAAACGAATGTGTCCCGCATGGTATTATTTGACAGGGATGATGGCCCTGGCAGGTGCGCAACCGTTGTTGCAGAAGTTCGAAAAAGTTGCTCGCAAAAGCCCGTTTGACAGAAATGTTTAAAAAGTGTTGGGTTTCCTACGAATCCGCAAGAGCGCGCGGGATGAAATTTTGACATTTTTTTTTTTGAAAAACCATTGGTTTTTTGATGTTTTTATGTTAAAATCGCTACGAAAACTGAGGTTTTGGAAGGATTTCGTCTTGCGCGCGCGAATGTCCACTTTACCTTATTTTTTGCAAGGGATTCTTGAAGTTTGGTTATGTTAGAACAAGAAATGTCCACTTTAGCTTATTTTTTGCAAGGGAAAACCGATCGTAACAACACAACCGGATCCGGACTCCCCCGTTTTGCCTGAGACTTCCTCACGAAAATGATGAAAATGAGGCTGCGGCCTAGGCGCGGCGGGGGGGTCGTGCACCAGGGGTCCCAACAATAATTATTCTTTAGAAGTAATAATGTTCAACAACAACAACAACAACAACAACAACAACAACAACAACAACAACAACAACAACAACAGCAACAACAACAACAACAACAACAACGACAATAACAACGAAACAAAACAACCTGTTGGTGTGCCCGGACCGGGTCCACCAGCTTGCCGTTTCGCCCCACGTAGCGAAACACCCCACTGGTTTACCCGGACCCCCCCCCCTCCCCCACAACGCAACGCGGCTGCAGGAACAACCTCGGTTGCGGTGCGTTGCGTTGCGTTGCGTTGCGGGGGGGGGCTCACGTAATCCTACAAGGGCCCCTATTGCGGGCCTTGTAGGATCCCACTTGGACCCGACCAGGCCCCCTTGTAGGATCCCACAAGGGCCCGACTAGGGCCTCCCGCAGGGCCTTTTCGAGGGCCCGTCGTCGTCGTCGCGGTCGTGGTCGCGGCGGCGGCGGTCGTCGTCGTCGCCGTCGGCAAACCGACAGGCAGACAGACAAAGAAGCCGAGGAAGACGAGGACGACGAGGAAAGGGACGCACAGGAGCGCCACAACGGTTGCATCATCCTCCTCCTCCTCCTCCTCCTCTCTCCTCCTCCTCCTCCTCCTCCTCCTCCTCCTCCCCCTCAGCCTCCTCCTCCTCCTCCTGCTACACTCCCACCCCCCCACTTTAGCTCAATTGCCTCCCCCCCCCATCCCCCCACTCTTTTTTCGGGGAGGGTCCTGCGCGGGGCGCCCCCAACACAAGCGCCACAAATCCGCGCGCAGCGCAGCCTCAACCGAAGCCAAAAAACGCTGGGCACACCCAAAAATCACAAGAGCACCGCAACTGTTGCGCGCACTGGCTCGCCCTGAAATCAACGCGACCGCGGGTGGCCAGATGAGCAATCGCGGAAAGAGCCCGAAAGAAATCATTCATTTTAGAAAAGTGGCATTCTTACCACAAGCCAGCGGCAAATATTTCGTCGCACCGGGGACGCAATCTATTCCGCCAGCGGGCGTACCCGCCAGCACACGACAAATTGGGCGCGCACTTGACTTCATCGGAAGAGCCCAACCTTCTACACTACGACTGCTGCACACTACCGCGGGGGACCTCCTCCGTCAAGTGTGACAGTTTTACGTCATGCCTGGGACGGCGATGCACATGCATATGCCGATGCCGATGCTGATGCCGATGTCATTGTCATCGACATCGTCGTCGTCCTCCTCACCCTCCTCCTCCTCATGTTCCTCCTCCTCCTCGTTCTCATCGTGCTCCTTCTCCTCCTCCTCCTCCTCCTCCTCCTCCTCCTCCTTGCTCCTCCTCCTCCTTGCTCCTCCTCCTCCTTCTCCTCCTCCTCCTCCTCCTCCTCCTCCTCCTCCTCCTCCTCCTCCTCTTCCTCCTCCTCCTCCCCCTGGGGGAGGTACGAGGAGGGGGCGTCGCAGAGCGAAGCGTTGCGCACCGCGGGGAAGGGCGTTGCCCCGGTAGCCACGACCCTCAAGGGATAGCCACCACGGCCAGGAATATAGAGGCAGAGCGGTCTGAGGAGCTGCGCTGCACTCACACGCTGCTCGTCTCGGGCGCCGCTGCAGTCGAACATACACCACGACACCAAGGTGCTCGGTCCACAGCGGGTTGCAGAGGAAGCGACCGTGCGCCCGCAATGGCTGTCATCATCACTGTTCCATGTCTCCCCCCTTTTTTCCTGCGACTCGGCGATCCGCGCCCACAAGAAAACAGGCGACCTCTGGACAGCAGAAGCTTATCGAGATGCCGACTGCGTGGTTTGCCCCGGTAGCCACGACCCTCAAGGGATAGCCACCACGGCCAGGAATATGGAGGCAGAGCGGTCTGAGGAGCTGCGCTGCACTCACACGCTGCTCGTCTCGGGCGCCGCTGCAGTCGAACATACACCACGACATCAAGGTGCTCGGTCCACAGCGGGTTGCAGAGGAAGCGACCGTGCGCCCGCAATGGCTGTCATCATCACTGTTTCATGTCTCCCCCCTTTTATCCTGCGACTCGGCGATCCGCGCCCACAAGAAAACAGGCGACCTCTGGACAGCAGAAGCTATCGAGATGCCGACTCCATGGTTTGCCCCGGTAGCCACGACCCTCAAGGGATAGCCACCACGGCCAGGAATATAGAGGCAGAGCGGTCTGAGGAGCTGCGCTGCACTCACACGCTGCTCGTCTCGGGCGCCGCTGCAGTCGAACATACACCACAACACCAAGGTGCTCGGTCCACAGCGGGTTGCAGAGGAAGCGACCGTGCGCCCGCAATGGCTGTCATCATCACTGTTCCATGTCTCCCTCCTTTTTCCTGCGACTCGGCGATCCGCGCCCACAAGAAAACAGGCGACCTCTGGACAGCACAAACTAATCGAGATGCCGACTCCATGGTTTGCCCCGGTGGCCACGACCCTCAAGGGATAGCCACCACGGCCAGGAATATGGAGGCAGAGCGGTCTGAGGAGCTGCGCTGCACTCACACGCTGCTCGTCTCGGGCGCCGCTGCAGTCGAACATACACCACAACACCAAGGTGCTCGGTCCACAGCGGGTTGCAG